GTTGTTGGACATAAGGCTCATGCATTTCGGCGCTTCAGTTGCGATGTTTTATTTCATATTTCGCGCAGTGGCTTATCCTTTGACTTGTTTCGTAAATCGTTTGACATCCGACATCGGTTTTCCAACTTATATGTGATAAATGTCACGGTGCAAGACATCAGAACTCAGCGACCATCAACAACTACGGGAAAGCGTCTTTTCCAGACGGAAACAAACCGTTCGCCACGTGGGGTCAAACGCACACATGAAAATAACTATTTCTCCTCGATTTCCCTTGTCACGCCGCGAGCTGCGCCATCATCAGCGTCTTCGACCCCGACCCAGCCTCAGGTTCAATGTTCCTCACCGATGGAAGATTCAGGCTCGGAACCTACGAAATGCTGCCTCACTGATCGGTCTGTGAATTCCCCAGAGCCTGTCTGTGAACCTTTGAACATAGAGGATCCACGGACCACCCAAAAGCACAAAAGGCCACGTAATCCAGTTCAGGTGTCCCCTGCTGATAAAAAACAACCCAACCCGATAAGCGCCTCTAGTTGCGCTCACACGGTTTCATCACCGATTTCGCTAAGGCGTCATAATCTCATGGTCTTCCAAGTACTAGAGCGAAGTCTGTTCGACAGCCTACAATTTGATGCAGTGTTTTAGCTACTCGTTAATCTCGATGGTGGAAATCCCCCTGGACCAGACAGACTTCACAGACTAATACCCTAGTCCCTATCGAATATCATCTCACTAGCCATGACAAACTCATTCAATAAATCATTGTCTGATGGATAAGACCACAAAGACTGGAAATTCATGATATTGAGACCACTTCTCATGCGTGGTGATTTGATTAAAGTAGAGAAGTCTAGGCCGATCAGTTTGACTTCGATATTATCCAAAGTCCTCGAGAAGGTTGTAAAAAGCATCTACTGTCCTTCTTTGAATCGATGGACGTATTGACGTCAGCGCAACATGGCTTTACGAAAACGCGATCCTGCATCACCAACTTAATGTACGCAAACCACCAGTGGGTACGAGCTCACAACGAACGGAAGCATGTTGGCGTGGTGTACATCGATTTCAGTAAGGCGCCTGACAGATTGAACCAGGTACTCCTTCGTAAACTGAGAATCTACGGAATCGGTGGCACGCTACTTCAGTGGTTACACGAGTTTATTGTGGGAAGAAACTTTAGGATGCAGGACAATGACTACCTGACAGACTGGTTTCCATCGACCAGTCGCATGCCTCAAAAAACTGTACATGGATTAGGGTTATTTCGTATTCATAGCAACGATGTCCCGCGGCAGGCCTAGTCAACAAATGCCCTGTTTGCAGATGATTTGAATATCTGGAGGATAATTGAGAACCAGGATGACTGCGCTCGCCTCCAGCATGACAGATCGATTGCCAAAGTGGCCTAAGGAAAGTCAACTCGCTCTTAACGCAAGCAAGTCGGAGTTCATCAGTATCATCAAAAGTCCAGTCACTCGATCATACACTTTGGACGACTATTTGCATCACCCTAACATACCTGTCAGAGACTTAGGAGTTCTCTCGCGACATGATATGAGATCACTAGAAAACAGAGAAATGGTACTCTGCTTTTCTGTAACGGTACACATACAATGGAAAAAGTTGCATCCTATACTCGGAAATAATGACACCAACACGAATTCCTAACTGAACATGGACAAACGATCAACTGAACAAATACTACCGCTGATGATTCGCAATTACATGTTTTGGAATTTTCATAAATCAGAGTTGTACAACAACCTCTATTCGCTCTTATATACAGTCTCATTCAGCAGTGTTTGTCATCAGAATCATCATGCGCATCAATGTCAAGTAGGTCAGGCCTAAGCGTTCGGTCTTGAGTGCGTCCGGGTCTGCTTTATGTGAACGACTATTTATGATATAGCTAAAATCTCTCTCACGGTCTTGTGAAACGCCTCCTCAAGTACCATTCACTTCCGAAGCAATGTCGGCTGGGTCGCCACTAGGGTGCTTCACACAACTGGATGTTTGCAGCTTTTGAGAAGCTGTTTCCTCAACACGGTCTTTCGAGTGACAACTTCCTATTACTATGAGGGATCATGGAAGTTCTAAAAGTAGTGTGAACTTCAGTTGTAACGACGTGTTAATGTAAGCCAAAGTAAATGGTACACACTATGTTTTCAATCCGTAAGAATAGGGAGCTCGACAATTTTCCGAGAATTTCCTTTTCATCGCTTTGGATACAATTGTGATGGGCCGGTAAGTTAGCCCCAGTAATCTGTGTGAGTGCGTACTGTACCAAATATGAAGCGGTTCAGGGCCCAGCGGCACTTTACATTTACTGGTCTGTACGCAAATTCAGTGTTTGCATTAATTGAATAGGGGTTTAAGTATTGGGGAGTGATTCAGTCCCTATTCAATGGCGATTACCATGCGAGCCAGTATTCATTGAATACATCAGTATAAACCGTACTCGTTGAAGGGATTACGGGAAATACCATGACGGACTGGTTTGTTCGACACCAGATAGTACGTAATCACTGCGTTTCAAGAAATGGCTCGTTTTAGGTCGTCAGCAGCTTTGTCCGTCCCAATCTGCGCAGGTGCATTAGGTTAACCAACTCAGTTTCGGGTTATGCCCACCGTAGTTGGGCCTGTATGTTCCATGTTTCCGCGACATAAGTGACAATTGATTCTCCAGCTAACAACATTTGAGTACCTTGTCCACCATCCCATGCAACGCTGCAGTTAGCACTAAACAAATAGATAAATACTTTCTCAACCGTGCGAGGAACTGCTCCCGCATAGGGATTGAGCAAGGCTGACGTGAATGAGTCTCTTGTGACCTGTCACGCATGCAAGCCTAGTATCCTACTGACGCAGATCGAACTTAGGCGGAGTACGTGAGCTGATAGTGCGCTCCAGTTCACACGTGACTTAAGCTGCATAGCCAAATTCAGCCATACGTCATGTCATAGTTACATCGCTCGTATGTGTTTACCTGTGGCTACAATACGCGGCCGTCATGCACGTAAGGACAATGGCTCAGAGCTTGTTGCCAGCGTCCAGTAAGGTCTACATGTGGCCACCAGGCATTTTCGCCACTTGGACCCTGCTTCCGTGGAGCGGTGGATCATGTGTCTGTCCCCACCGTTACAGTGCAGTCCACGGGTATTAACAATGCAGGGGCCCACGCGTGGGCAGATTCACATACGTACGTACTGTTTGCGTCTGTGGAGTACGGGGCTTGCACGCATGACCTGCCTGCCGTGTTAACCAACCTGCCACACATGCTAACTGCACCCAGTCCAGTCTGTTCACATAACTATGGTTTTATCGACATACACTTACTCAGCTAACAATCTTTGGGTTGTTGTCTGCAACCCTCACATAACTATCCCGACAATATCCAGGAAATCTCTTGATATGCGCCTATCGCGTGCATCGTCACAGTAGAATCTCATAGTAGGGCCTTATGATCAGACTGGTTCGTCGGTGGCCGTCACATCCACCTCCGCTGTTATGTTAGCGTGGTGCGCAGTTAACTCGCAGTGTGGCTTATGTCCACATGCTCACAGTTGTTGCAGCTACTTTGTAGACGCAGTAAGTCTTCTTACCTATCGGAAGTGCGTTTTCCAGTACACCAGTGCCGAACAGATTATGAACGTTCTTCCTTGGTTGGTGTCCTTAGAAAGGCCAAAGCTGTTCCTTCTAGTTAAGAAATACTTACCGTCCCAATCAATTCCGTAGTATGTTTTCAATGTGGTTTTATCATCTTTCGATACGTGTGTTTCACTAAATGGTTCGGATGTCTACAGTTCAGCAAGTATATCATTGCCTACTTCCAAGCGGCGTTCCCATCTTCCTCTGTGCACAGGGCTCTGGCTCTTTGAAAGATAAGGCGATCCCAATATAAACATGTTTAAGGTAGCATGAACGGTAATGCAGTGTCCCATATACGCCCGCTGATTAACGAAATTTCCGTATATAAGTTAGCCATTCCAGCGAAGGGGGCGGTAAATGAATGGTAATATGCCACTGCAAGATGTCAACTCCATGGTGGACTATTTCAGGTGTTTCACAAACGGTCGCAACCCAGTAATATAACGTGTACTTCAAAATGACCCTGCAATTAGTCAGCAGCTGTTGTGTCAATGTTGTCCGTCGTGATCCGGTGGCTTAGGGGTATATGTCCCAATTGACGTGTCATTGGTGTGGGTTCCGAGGTCTGCTATCTACCTGAGGAGACCAAATAAGGCCAAAACACGTCGTGGAGCACTGCGCTTTTGGGCGGAATACACCCTATTTTCGGACACTTAAGCTACGGTCCTAGTAAGCGAAATGGCTAAGGTTCGCTTCAATGTGAACCACAGTCCACATTGAGATTACGTATCGCAATCCAACCACACAACGTGTACTTCCAAATGACCTTGCAATCAGTCATTAAGCGTTGTGCCGAATGTTGCCCGTGGTGATCTGGTGGTTAAATGGGTAAAGGTCCCAACTAGCATTCCAATAGTCCCGGGTTTGAGGTTTGTTATCTCTACCGGATGAGATTACATAAGGTCGAAGCCCGTCGTGGGGTACAGTGTTATCGGGCGGTGAACACCCAAATCGTCAAGTTTCTTGCTGGGTGTAGCTAACGTGTTCTGACGAACGCATTCAGAGCTAGTAACTGTTCGCGTGATATTTTAACCGACAACAGAGCTTAGTAAAATTTAGATTACAGCCTCTGATTCTGTGCAGCATCTAAGTTTCGTCTGCTGCATTCGCTGTATGGTGGCCTGAAAACTAGTGGCATCACGTCGCCATCCCAAGTGATTTAAGTTTGGTAAGGCGTCGATTGATATTATTTGTAGTGTAGCATACGGACGCATGAATCAACAAGCGTATGGCACACAATGCGACTGGTATTGTTTGCTATATATCACCGCGATGAGATTCGGATACACCAAAAACCAAAGAAATTGTGCTAACAGCAAAGAAAACTACGCATAACCCCCAAAACTCACATGGATTCTTGTTAAAGGGTGGACACTGCTGCAACTGAAAATCAAGAATGCTTTCAAAAATGATTAATTGGATGGTAGGAAGTCAACGAGTAGTTAACAGTAAGCATAGTATCTGGAGAGTTAGGCTGTTCATATAGTTGGCAACTTTGCTGCTGAGTGACAACAGGGGATGCAAAATGTCAGTAAAGTGGCTTCGGAAGTTGCGACTAGCATGAAAAACAGTTAACCAATAGATTAGGAACACCACTGGTGCGCGATTTATATGCATCAGACCGCAACTACGAATGATGCTAATCCCAAGTAGGAAGCAATCAACTGCACTTAACATTACACCACTGCTTCAGACCTCCATTTTTCAAAATTAGACAATACAAAGCCGTCAAGGATGAATATGTCGGATAAAGAAGCGCTCAAAACTGTACTTTAATACATATAAGTGCATTCCTAAACCGGCTCCAACGCCCTACGCGTGATTACCTCAGTGCCGAGCTCGAGATGACGCATAGATAACGCGACTACAAGGGAGTCAGTGGGGCGTTTTCGTTGCAATAGATATCAGATGCTTGACATAATCGACTTCCAGGAATTTAGTTTGAAGCGACTGTCTTGAACCCGGAAGCCCTCAGCTTAAGAAGGGCTACACGTTTAACGGAAGGCGACCCAATCTACTTTACACTAGTGAAGAGCCGTATGTGTATGGTTCGGCTTTGGACCTCTATTGGAGTCCCATCCCATCTGAAGCTAAAGTGCCATTTGTATCACAATTTTATATGCGCTATCAACTGCAGCTCCGAGGATATCTAAGAAGGTTTCTGTCTCTTGTTACGATGTTTTATCTAGAGAAGTGAAAGTCCTGATATCGTGATCAATGCTGATATCATGAATATTCCTATTAGCTACCATTCGGAATCTGAACAACAGATGGGAGGCGATTTCGACGTTTATGGACGCCGAACAGACCATCTTGACCAATTTCTGCAGTTGACCGACCCGTGGCCTTTTAGTTCACAAGGCTGCCCACCGAATTCTTAGAATCCAAGAACCAAATTAAGCATATGGTCATCAGCCATAAATGTCGTACGTTAGTCCAAGACTGTCAGTCAATTTTGAGCACGTCCCTGGATTCCGACCATGTTCTAGTGCGCGCACATTAGGTAGTATCTGCTCTCGCTTTAATGTGGCACCAAATTTTGAAGCTCCGCGCTTGTGACTTGAACTCGCAGTGTGCGATTCAACAATATCATGATGAACAGGCTTACTAACTGTGAGTGGTGTATGAGGTCGGTGAACTAAATCTCGACTGCAATTGTCTTCAGTGTGTCACCAAGAATGCCTTCGACGCCTAACGCACGCCAAACTTAAGACGTCCAAAAATGTATGTGAATTTGTGAGAGATTGATCAGTTTTTCGAAGGAAAAAACACCGGTGCCTTTGGGTAAGGGGGCTCAGCCGAGTGCTGTTCCAACACATCCGGAACGCGGTTCATAGTAGTCCATCAGCTAGTGAGACAACATTCGAGGATGGTGGACAGTTGGACCTATTTTAGCCACGTCGTCTAACCTGCTGAGTGAAACATTTTGGAATGCAATTCAATAGGCCAACTGAGACGCTGCTAGTTGCTGGATCAACTAAACTTACGTGGACGTTAATGTCGTACCTCCCACTTAGGATCTCAGTCAAGATGAAATCATCGTGCTATAACGAAACTAAGCATTTGGACCTGAAGACCTTCCGTCATATTTGCCGAAAGATATAAATGACTCTTTGTTGACTGGACTTGCTGCTGACTTTCAACTGGGGTGCCCATTTTCAATAAATTCAACTGACTTTGTGCGAAAATCATCGACGCACTGGTTATATATTTATTGTTTGAAAAATTCTCACGGATGCCATTCTTCGACGAATTACTGGTCCTCTTGGGGGCCGAATTATTGAAACAAGCAGACTTGCACCCACGGCGTGGTCACAACGGACACATATTTACTCTTCTTCAGCTGTTAATACAGAGATACACTTACAAACGACTACTTGCGGTATTATTTTTTATGTAAAATACTCCTTTGATTCTGCTGATTGGTCCATTTTGTAGCACTGCCAATCCATGAGAGAAGTAACAAGAAACTCGTCCCCCGAAGTCACTTAAGGACATATGGGAAGCTGCTTCTTGAGTTAGACAGGGTTATCTTGTATCTCCAGCATTCTTCAACTTCGTGATCGAAATGCTCATAAATAGATCTAGTTGCTCAGGCTCTCCCTTAGTGGAAGTTCTGCCAAGTGACCAAATTAAAACCTCAATTATCAGAATGACATACTCTTCTAGGATCTTAGGGAATGACTGTTCAATCAACGCTTACAGACTGAGGCGTAGTGCTGCACGCGTCGGCGTCTACTTTGCACCTTTACTGTGCAAATTATTCTTGCATGACCGAACGGATCCGCCACTGGCTTTAGTCACCAGCCAACAGCAACCGGAGGTAATGAGTTGGTTCACTTAGCTTGGTAACTGTGTCACCTCTGATGATCACATCACTAAGAACGTTACTTCGCATATCATCTAGGCCCTTGCGGTATTTCAGAGGCGCAATCATCTAAGGGGACGGTAGGGTATCAGTCTGTAAGGGAAAGGCAGGGTGTATAACGTTGCGATAAAACTGGTATTACTGTATGGATCAGAGACTTAGCCAGTTCCTACCAAAGATATCAAACGACTGACAGTCTTTGAGCACCGTTGCCTGGTGGGAATAACAATGCCATTTGAAACTTCGACTAGACGGGGATCGCAGGAGCTTCATTCGACGATGTTCACGCCATCCTAGTCTGTCACCGGAATGCCCCAATCTATCGCTGTCATGTGGGTGAGGCGATTGATAGCGTACATTTGTACACATGAAACATTGGATTCAAAACAATGGTACTTCGATACGCATGCTACTTTCGTTGCTATGTTGAAATTTGCTTTTTGAAGGACATCAATCTGAAGCACGCACATAGGTAAATTGGACTGCATACATTAAGGTACTTGCTGAGAACGAATGTGCTATTATCAACCTAAGTACTGTGTTGGCTGTAGACTGTATGCGCATTAAGGATGCCACTGACGTATTCTGTTGACTTAGTCCTTGGACTTCACTTGTTATTCAGGTCATATCAGCGGTAACACGCATGCACTTGGGAAATAAATCTAACAAGCTAATCGCCAGCAACAGTATTCACAGCCGACATTCAAGCACAGCTGGGGGGTGGTAAGACTGAGTCTACCTCTTCATCCGTAAACGTCAAACTGTTTCATTTACATTTCATACTGAAGACAGGTATGGCATTTGGCAGTTGAGTAAAATGATTACTATCAGGTAGTATGGTCCTACACTGTGCGTACTCAGAGATTTTAGAAGATCGTTCAGCTCTTGTTCAGTTTGGTGCTAACGCGCTGCATGGCAATGTATAACCACAAACATTAAAAATTCGAAACTACTGCAGTATGGAGTAAAACTTGTAACAACCGACCATACATCTCATTAGAATGTAGTATGCCATGTGTGGTGAAACTCACACGGTGGGATAATGCAGAACCGCAGACGATTTCTCTCTCAGGAATCGGGGAACCACGGTCCACTTGCGTTTGCACATAGTGCCGATAGATGAGGTACCAGATGAAAAGCGTGAAGCCGCCAACTGTAACAATCAGCCTGCATAAAGATTTTCCCCTCATCTTAAAGAAAATAGAAGTTCAGTTAATGAATACACACGAAATGGTAATTATGTCCCACAAGCTTCGTCTTCAGATATCCTTATTTGAAATGATAAAGGGAAATTCAGGTTTCAAATTTCAATTTTATTTGGAGTTGCAGTGCAACGATGCAACTTTGCGCATTTGGTGTGACATGGTTGCCGGGAACGCTACATGTCATATACCAATATGCATCCGACAATCCTTCGTAGATCTCAACAACAAGGGCCACTGTAGTGCTGCTTCGTTAATCGTTTACCTCCAAGTGAACGTGTGGCAAGATTTGACGCGGCTGTTTAGTTCGCTTTTACCTGATAAAACGTTTATCGACTGAGTTAGGAACAGTAATGACTGTTTAGCATTCGATCAATAAATCCGGTTGATAGTGCTACCGCTGCGAATTCTTGGATTTACTAAATTTGACACAATAATCAATTCAATCAACACTTTGGAGGGAAATGATTAGTCTTGTGTGCACAAAAGGAGACCACTGATAAAGTTGGTCAACATTGTTAGCATTGTGATAAAAAAATATATAAATGTGATTTCAGCATACTGGAATGAACAGTTTAGTATGCCTTGCCTACTGGTTATATCGGCACTGAGTGTCATTGAAGCGCTAGAAATGCATCTGGTGACCGACAAACGTTCGAAGCATGGTAACCATATTATCAAGGAGGATCGATAGGCACATAACTGTGAAATATTTGTGCACATAATACGATGATTCCGTTTAGATGGTTTTGTCAGCTAGACTGATCGGTGGTCTTGTGACAACTAGAGGCTATTCTGCTGAATAGTTGTCACTGTCCAACTATGATGTAGCAATGGTTAGAAATCTATTCAAAGTGCGGCTTGCGGTCTGGTGAAAAACAAACCGTGCGTGTGAACAGGTGTTATCCTGTTCCGGCGTTCCACATTGGACCCAAGACCCAAAATCCTCATCTTCAAACGTCCAAGCTATTCGAAGACAAGAAATCTATCTTCATTTGTTCCTTAGTACGCAGCAAGACTGTTCGCTATTCGAACCAGGTTCAGAGAATCCGTACATACTAAACCGAGAAGCCGTCTTTTGTACGTATGGTTCCAAAAGCGATTGCATCTCAGAATAAATTTGTCTATGTAATACCCAAGGAATACTAAGATATTGTGCAAGGTTTTTAGATGGATAATGATTAGTTCTACGACCAATCTTAAGGAACGGAACGTACTCGTATCGATGAAATGTCGTCAATGCACAGAGTTTGGTGAGGTTTTCAGGGGGTCCAGACCCGTCTTGTATTTATACGGTAAGTACAGCTAACACAAACAATGTTTCGTAAGAAGAACACCTATTAGAATCTGCTCATAGCAAGTGGCTGCCGTGTTGGAAGATGAAAAAGGCCTATGGAGCCGAGTTTCGAAACATTGCGTACATTCATCACTGTCCGAGTATCGTTCTTGTTGTCAGCTGTGATAGCAGTGGTTATGTCAGTAATGCAGTTGAGTCAACAAAACCAATCTAGCCGGCAACTATCCATCGACCTTTATATGGCCATGAATGGATTGGTCAGCAGTGAATATTTTCCTCGTACCTGCCGGACTCGTATCCGGGACCCAGCAAAGTAAACCATTAGACCACCATGTATGACGGCCACGGGTTACTTTGAAGATATATCAAGCGATACATTATAGTTCATCACTCACTGCCGTGTATATCGTAAATCTGACTCCAGGAGGTGTCAAAGAAATAGGCGCTGTTGATGAGTCCCAGTGGCACAAAACGATCATCCAACGCTTTTCTTGATGCGCGTGTGGTTAGCTTACTTGATACAGGTTGCGATGCATCTTTTTTAAAAAGACCCTGTATCAAATGCACAGGTGGAAGGTAAGGGGTCTTTAACGGCATTGAGGTTTGCTGTTAGGCCAAAATGGTAATTACTGGTGCGTCAGAGGTATTTTATTAAGACTGTTACACCATCCCATACAAACACGAAGCGGTAGCGGTCAAAACACATTATTGCCCAAATTAGCTAACAGTGCTGCAATTGCTGCGAAATACGGGAACAAAACAAACCAGATGATTGATATTGAGAACATGATAGCAATACCCAGTGAATATGCGATTAGTTGAACTGGACATCCATAGTGCCCATCAGTGAGAGACAGTTCTGTTCAAGCGTCGCTTTCGAGAAGAGCTCGCTGGACCACTGGGGCAATTTGGTCAGCTCCTCATGGCGTTTGCTTGCATTTAGCTTAGCGGACAGTATATATATATATATATATATATATATATATATATATTGGCTGACGATTCCCAGATCCGGTGAACAGGCATAATAATGGTGGCAGAATATTCAGCATAAGACACGATATGTTTGGCGGCATCCGGTTCCGGATTTGCTTGTCACTGCGACTGCCATCAGACAGATACTGGACGCCTGCGCTTACATAGTGACAACGGGTGGCTTGCAATGTACAATCCACAGCTCTATCTACACAGTCCGTATCCAGTGTAAACCCCAAAGAATAAGATAAGGGGCATGTGGATGGCAGCCTCGTTTCAGCAGATGAGTCGGCCTACACCGCTTCAACATGCACTGCAGTAGCATTCCTGCCTATTTAATTTGGGTATCATACGTAACGGACGAACACAAGGCGGCGGATGTACCGTAGCCCGTTCCATACTGGTTGGATGGAACTAATGTTTGAGTCTGGAATGGCCACGAGAACCGTGCTCCTCTTCCTCCTAGCAAAGATCAGCAGTATACCAGAGCCAGTTATCGTGGTGCAGCAATACAGCAGCCGCGTATGATGGGTATAAAAGCGAATACTTGACGTGTCCGGTAGAATGATTAAAGCGAAAATGTTAGAAAAAGCAGTGCCAGTGAAGGACGCTTGAGATACGTGACTCACTCCGAGGTTGGGAGTAGCACACATGTGCGAGTATTCCTGCCTGGAGCTTTTGAGGGTCTTGACACCGTCCGCTGTTTGTTCTGCACTGATACCATCATCCAATGGTCATTAGCTATATCGCGTAGTGTGATTGTGTCAGGGAATCGTCAAGGTGTTTTCGTATAGGGATAAGTGTGACATTAGTTACATGTGCCGAAAGCGAGTTACAGGGTGTGACACTCGAATGGAGAAAACGTTTCGTCGGCTGTGCTAGGTAACTAATTTAAACAGATGACCACTTAGAAATGTCTTTTGACTGTATTTCAAAAGATAGAGTGGATCTGATACACCATTGTGAGATCTCCCCATAACCACCGATATATATATATATTTATATTTATATGGGGAATCATGCACCCACAAGGCGGCAGATAGACCGCGCAACCCACACTTTCTCCAACGACCAACAGTCTCCCGGAGACATTATGAACGACGTAGTAGGTAATGGACAGACACTTTGTCAAGATGCACATGAAGCCAAGCCACACCGGAGCTGTCAAGCAACAGCAAATCACTTGAAAGAATAATAACAACAATATATATTGAATAAAGCATACGGATATCCCGACATACATCTTCTCTGAATGAGCATACGTAACAAAATGATTACCAACCAATCCGCGTTAAGTTCAACATCTCGGGAAATACATGGTAAGGAAATGCCACGAACGCTAAAAGGTTAACGAAGTTAACCACCATTGACGTAATTGACTTTGTTCAAGTTCATAGATCATTAAGTTAGACGTGAAGATGAGGTAAAAACCTGAGCATTAAGACAATATAGGAAACGGACCATCGGAAATAAAAAAAACATAGCACGCAAGCACGCCATTAATAAAAAACATGCAACGTACCTACCAACGCTGCGCCGGTTCGGCTTACGTTCTCAGCAGCACCCGTCGTTTTTTGATGCTGGGCCCGAGGGGCCTTGCTCGTGGCTCACTATGCCTGCCTGACTCAGGCATTCGTGACCGGATGTGCTACAGCACCATGCGCTCGACCTCAACGGAGTACAACCCATCGGAGACTGTCGATTCCATGCCTGTCGCTTCTTCTCTGCAAACACGAGAGCTTTGTCTAGCACTCACAGCAACTGCCTTTGTGATCAGATAGCGCCATACATGCCGATCAACCGCCTTCGCTTTCCCAACACCTGAACTCATTACTAGAACGTGATAGGCTCACTTTCATCATCTCCTGCTAACGAAGTTTCGATTTACCCACTTGCCGCTTCTTGTATCTGTATCCAATCTGTACGCTACACATGACCGAGCCACCTGAAGTGTTTTAGCAAAAGTATGCAGTCCACTGCATACATTCCACTTCGGCGCAGCACCTCCGTGTCTGCAACTCTGTCACGCTAACCTACGCGCAGAATCCGTAGCAGACGCTCTCGCTGAAACCGCTCGAGCTATCTCACGTCTCGTCAGTACGCTGTCCACGCTTCCCTGCTGTAAAGAACAAACAGCACCTTGGATTTGTACACCATCAGCTTCGTGCCATTGGTAAGCTGGTGGTTATTCTCACTTGGTATTCATGCTTTCCGAGTGCCCGCGCCGCCTTCGATACGCGGATACGCAAATAACCGTGTATTTGTTGGGCATTCGAAACCACACTCCTAAGACAGCAGAAGCTGAAGTTGGTTTCCAATACTTCGTCACCAATACCGATTTCCAAAAAAAATTCAGATTGCACATCCCGTGAAGGCTGAAAGAGACAGACAGTATTGCTTGCGTTGATAGTGAGCCCGAATTTGGCCGCGCTCGAAGCCAGAGTACTAGTCTCGTGCTGCAACTCATCCGTGATGTACGTAAGCAATACAGAGTCTTCAGCGGACAGCAACATACGGAGAGTTGTAGCTCAGTCTAAGGTTCATACACCGAAAGGAGGGATGTTCAACATTTCCGGACAAGTGGAATACCAGCTGACTGAGGCCATAAAATCAATGACTAATATACTACATAAGATTCGCATAACCGCAGCCAGAGTGGAACTGTTCAAAATACTCACGCGTCCCATTTTGGAATACTGCCGTATCATTTGTGGCC